TTCAGGAAGCCCAGGGGCCACACGGCTCTGGATCACTGTTTCGTGAGGCACAGTGAACTTCATTCATTGTGCTCTGGGAAAATGCAGAGTTGGGTCCTGCCCACCAAAGATTCTGATAGAATTCTGACAGATTCTGATTACAAGCAGCCTGTAACTCTGGAACATGTGGTAGAAGCACATATTAAAAAAAAAAAGATTTATTAAGATATATTTCACATACCATACAGTTTGTCCATTTAAAGTATAGAATTCAATGATTTTTAGCATATTAAATATTTTAAATATTTGAATCATTCTTAAAAAAACCCCAAACCTGTTAGCAATCACTCCCCATTTCCTCCAACCTCCCTTTACCCACCTGTAGCTCTAGGCAACCACTATCTACTTTCTGTCTGTGTAGATTTGCATATTCTGGACAGTTCACATAAATGGAATTACACACGTGTGGTCCTTCGTGACTGGCTACTTTCACTTAGCATAAACTTTTCAAAGTTCATCTACATTATAGTGTGAATTAGTATTTTTCTTTTTATGACTGAGTAATATTCCATTGTATAGATTATTTATATTTTGTTTATCCATTCACCAGCTGATGGACATTTGGGTTGTTTCTACCTTTTGGCTATTGTAAATAATGCTGCTACGAACATCTGTGTATGAGGTTTTGTGTGGACAGATGTTTTCATTCCTCTTGGGTATATACTTAGGAGTAGAATTGCTGGGTTATATGTTTAACCTTTTGAGGAATTGACAGACTGTTTTCTACATTCACTAACAGTGTATGAGAGTTCCAATTTCTCCACATCTTCCTTAGCATTTATTATTATTTAGCCATCCTAAAGGGTATGATGTGATATTTCATTATTTTTTTGATTTGCATTTCCATGATGGCTAATGATATTGAGTATCTTTTTTATGTGCTTATTGGTCATTTGCATGACTTCTTTGGAGAAATGTCTATTTAGATCCTTTGCCTATTTTTAAATTGGGTTGCCTTTTTATTATTGAGTTGTAGGAGTTCTTTACATATTCTAGATACAGTCTCTGATCAGATATATGAATTGCAAAATCTTTCTCCCATTCTTTGCATTTTTTCACTTTCTTGATGTCCTTTGAGGCATAAAAGTTTTAAATTTTGATGCTATCCAATATATCTGTTTTTGTTATTGCTTCTGGCTCACACTTTGAGAAATATTGCTAAAATGCAACTTGAAACTGGAAGCTTTGAGACCCAAAGTTTGGCGGTGCTTTATAGATTGCCTTTGACAGCGATTTCCTCCAAGTTTGGGATTTCATTCCCCACCCCAGTCAGTCCTTCCTCCTACTCTGGGCTGGAAGCACAGAGCCCATGGGGACCTTCACCGTGTTTACATCCCCTCCCTCTCCTGAGGTCTACCACAATAGAGCAGCTGAAATGACAGTCTGGAAATGTCCTTTATTGTGAAAACTCAATGGCCTTTGTCTCCGGGATTTGAAATTTTGATGCAAATGTTGGCAGCCAAGAGTTCGGAAGGGGAGGGGAAGGGCTGGGAGAAGAAACCCTGCCATTGATTTCCATAGTGAGTCATTTCATCTCTGTGTTGTCTTGGTTTTCTCACCCATAAAATGGGGGAAAATACCCCCATCTCCCCATCTCAGCTGGGGGTACTTTGAAGATGAGTTAGAATACTTTGAGATCTTGGATTAAAGGCATTACTGAGGCGCAAGATGTTATTAAAATAATAAATGACTTACTGGCAGAGAGGATGAGGCCACTAAAGCAAGGGGCAAGAAAGAGAGAGGCTCCGAGTTGTGGAGTGGTTTCTGTCTAGAGCTCCTGAGCCCAGACACAGAGTTTTATTCTTCGAAGTGAGATTGTGTAATTTCTCACAAACTGGATTATTTCATCTGAATTCAGCATTGCTCTACAGGGTACGCCCTCTATGACTTCCGCCATAAGGAAAGAGTGCACTTTATTTTAGGAAGTAAGATATACATTAAAACAATTGAAAACAGAGCAAGACATTATAATCAAGTCCTGAACTAAATAACAAGTGTCAAAAAGAGAGCAGAATAGTTAATGATGAACAGCAGAGTCCCCATTTCATGAATCCTAGGTCTACCACACACTAGCTGTGTGACCTTGCCTCTGTTTCTTCTTCTGTGACTGCAATTGTTGGTGTAAAGAACTTGGAATAATGGCTAGCACATAGTCAGCTCCCAAAGGTTGGACCTGTTGGGGATCTTGTCAGGCTCTGTTTTGCTGGCCACTTAAACTTGGACAAGTGGCTAGATCACTGATCCTCAATTATACTATCTGTAAAACGGGCATAAGGATACGTAGCAGCTCACAAGGCAGCTATGAGGATGGAGGGAGACAATGTTTGTAAATAGTATTGCAGGAGCCCTACAAATGGTAAGCATTCACTGAAAGGTAAGCTTTCACTAAATGAGCTACTATTACTGTCAGTAACCGACTAACAGCCCTGGCTGAGGAGTGAGGATGCTGTCACTAATGGCTTAGTTAAGTCAGGGGCCTTCTTTGGAAGCTAGAATCTGAGGTGGGCAGGAAGGGATTGATAGGATACCAGTGATCAGAGAAGAAAGCAGGATCAAAGAAAGGCGGAAGCCTCAGGACCGACTGCTCTCTGGGAGGCAGGAGGGGACCGGGCCTTCTCACTCCCCCACCAGCTCGAAGACCGGCCGGCTGTATCTGGCAGAGCGGCGGCGACTGTTTACCTCCGACGCCCCTTCCGCAATCTCGGCTTTCACCTTCCCAGTCGGCGAGGTCAGGGCTCTGCTAAGCTGGAGCAGACCCTCCCTCCCTGAGGAATGTGCGACCCTCCCTCTCTGAGGAATGTGCGTCTGGCTTCCACGGCTGACCAGGCCCAGCGCCTACCTCTCCACCCGTTCCTCCCCGCAGTCAGTAGCCAGGAGCCCCGCTGGCTTTCCCCACCCTCCGTCAGGATCAAGTTTCAAAGTCACCTGAAAGCCATTTCCTTCCTCGCACGCCTCTCCCCGCCCTGTAAATCACCTGGGGCTTATGTTTGCATGTAGTAGCTTATTTTAATTTTTTTGGCTTGTTTTGTTTTTTAACGTGAGCTCTGTTTGTCGTTACTATACACGCTTGTTTCTACTGGATGTCAGATATACCCAGTGGGTCTGATATCAGTGTAGCATCCCTCCTCCCTAGGAATTGGTGGTAACGCCTAACCAGTGGGACTTCTTCTGGGGGTCCCATCCTGTCATGCTGGGACAGCATCTTTTCTTCAGCAACTTTATGGATGAATTATTTCGGGTTTTAAAATGTACACTCGTGCCCAAAACCCAGGCTTATTGACTGTTCCTGTGCCGTCCTCAGCCCCTCGCATCCCAGGTGTGCCCCTTTCCATGCCCATATGATTACATACAGACATAAAAACAGGAGACAGGTTCTCTTCGTTTTACAAAAATGGGTCCTTTATTACACAGGTTTCTGCCCCTTGTTTTTTCCCACCTAACAGTATCTTGGTGGACTCCCTCCAACTTATCGGCTTCTTCATCTTCCTTGTCAGTTTTTGAGGTCTGGATTTACATCTGTAAAGGGTCACGGGGACCGAATTTCAGTGAGAAATTCAAGACGTGCCTTTCTGACTCAGAAAAGCCGAGGTGACTTGCTCTGGTAGGATTACGACTCCCCAAACCGATCCCAACTAGTGACTCACTTGAAAGCCCCCTTTCCTGTCCGTACAATGGTGGCGGTTTTGGCCGTCCGGTGCCCTCTTCGGAGGCGGTGCTACCAGGTATGTGACACCAGGGTGACTCCCACCACGTGCGTCTTTGTGTTAGCGCATCTAGGTTGCTCCGGGGCGGCTAGCTTTCCGCCGGGAGGACACCGCCGCGACGGCGCGCTCGCCCCACCTGCGGGAGTTAATCATTAGCGGTGCGCGAGCCCCACCGCCGTCGCTGCAGCCTTTACCCCCGGTTCCAGCTCGCAGCGCCGCGAAGTTTCCCCCGGCCCCCGCCGAGCCTCCAATCGCGGGATTCCAGCCGCGGGCCCGAGTCTCCACCCACTGGAAAAATTCCTGGTGCGTCCTCCCTCCCTCCCTCCCTGCCCCCTCCCGCGGCAGCTCCCGCTGGCTCGGCCCCGACTTCCTGC